AAGTTGTGAAACTCCACGTGGGTTTTGTATTTGAGAAGGACCCTATGCTTAGTCTATTCATCGGGCCGCCATTTCCGGAGTTGAAAGGCAGAATCAGGAGCGTAGCGTCTTTGCTGTATTGACAGTTTCTCCCCTGGGGGCGGGGCATGGTTCCATGTGCTTTACGGGGCCTGGCGCTGCTTCTCCTTTTCTTCCCTCTCAGCTCATGGTAAGTCCCGCATCCTTGGGCCGTCTTCTTGGCCTTCCCTTTACATGCACACACGGACATTATGGAGAATCCGTGCACAGAAATCATATGTTTCTCCAGGAACGTGCAGACTTGCAAAAATGCTATTTTTTTTCCATTCCCACAGAAGAAGAATTACGATCGAGTAATGAAAGCACTGGACAGCATCACTTCTATTAGAGAAATGACGCAGGTAAGACTATCGTCTGTGGGCTGGGGCAGTTCCGCTTTGCTGGAGTAAAATCTTACTTGAAAAATGTCTGAGGGGAGAAAAGACTGGGCATGCCGGCCGCGCAGCGCAGCGCAGCGCAGCGCAGACTCTCCTGTTACCTGGGGACATAATTAAATCGTAGAAACATTAAGGCGGCGGTGCCGAGGCGTTTTAATTAAACCGCACCGGTGCGTGGCGTGCTGCCTCTGCTGGAGTACGTGGAGGCGTGGCGGGATATCAGAGGTTAAGTCTGGCACCCTCTCCCTAGACCCGTGGTCGGCAAACCGTGGCTCGCGAGCCACAGGTTGCCAACCACTGCCCTAGACGGTCAGTTTTAATCAGTGGGAATAATTTCAAAACATCATTTCAATGGTAAAAACAAATATTTTACCAAATTTAAATTGTACGTAAATATTTTAGACGTGATACGGAACCTCCAAACAGCTCTGGAAGACAGCAGACCCCTGAGGGTCTGAGCTCTGTTTCTGGCCTTTAGGAGAGAGGCTTTGGTGGGACAGTTGGTGAGCGAGGACCGGAGTTCGTGGTGAGAGGCTGACCTGTCACTGGGCTGTGTGCGGTCCGGCACTTGGAAAAGTGCATGCCCATGAATGACAGGGCCCGGTGCCCTGACCAAGATTAGGGGAGAGGTTTCAAACTCATCATTTTAAGTAGAAATGAATCATCTCAGATGGACAGCCACACATGTGATGGGCTCAGGTTCAAGGCGGGCACACCCAGAGACGCCCGTGGGCTGATGAGCGTTGTTACCTGGTCACTTCCTCTTCCAGGAGGGAGTCCCGGGTGGGGAGGGGACGGGCTTTGCTCCACTCTCTCTCCCCCACCCCCACCCCATCCCCACCGTCATCTGTAGTCTATGAACATGTGCTTCAAAAGTGCGCCTTTACGTTCACAACTTTGATTATGGATGCTCTGGGTAGTTAGTTATTCATGCAGGCAGACATGCCTCCATTCACTCACAAACGGTCCGTGCCAGGCCTGGGCAAACAAGAGCCTTGAACTCCCACGGCGCGTTCCTTGCTCATTCGGCATCCTTGGCAGTTGCTTCTCCATGCCCCACCGTTCTGTATTATGTGGATCCGGTTCTAACGCATATATTTGCATAAGGAAAATGCAGTAAAATGCATTTCCACCTATTGCAGCATTTCACTCAAAGGGCAGCTCTGGTCACCAGAGACTCTGTGCGGGGTATTTATACTCCACCCGGACCCAGGTCACTCTTGGATATAAAAATAACTGTGCCTCTGGCTCCGGGTCGGCTCCGGGTCGGCTCTGAGTCGGCTCCGGGTCGGCTCCGGGTCGGCTCTGGCGGGAGCGGCGTCCTTTATTCTGGCAGTGGAGGCAGCGGAGACGGCTGAGTCAGCCCAGGAGGCCCAGTCCGAGGCCCGCTTTGCAGAACTTGCTCATCAGTGATGTGGCCCGTGACCTCGGGCAGTCGCTCTGTCGCTGATGCCTCCACTCCCATCAAGATATGAACATAACAGCACCCTCTCTCGCGGGCGCCTCGTGGGGTGCTGTCAGGTTTCGTGGGCACCTTCTTCAAACCTCTCCGCATAACCATCACACTACACGCCTGTTTTCTAGCATGGACGTCCTCCTCATAGACCTACCGTGTCCCAGACAGATCGCCCTTGGTTCTGTGACCGGTAAATGCCCTTAATTGCTCGTAAGAGAAGGGCTCTTCTTAGGTAGATTTTGCTTTTTCTTTTCATGCAAAGATCTACACCTAAGTCGCTACCTCACATCTGAGCTTGAGTCGTAGCCATTGCAAGTTCTGCTTCCAAGTTAGCTGAGAACTGTCACTGTCCCAGAGAACCGGCCGGGAGGGACCCCTTGAAGGCGCAGGGCAGATGTCACTGGAGGCCTGCAGAGGAGCCAGCTCACCTCCGGGGACAGAGGGCTGACGCTTTAACAGAGGACAGCCAGGGGCCAGGATTAGGGGGAGTGGAAATAGGACTGTGGGGGCAGGGAGTTTAGGAGGGTCAGCGGGGAATTACTGAAAAGCTAGGCCGCGTGGGTTTGTGGTGTGGCAGCCTCGGTGTCCTTGAGCGGAGGCCCAGCGGGGCCTGGGGTCACCCATAGGGACCTGGCCGAGTGCAGGGAAGCCAGGCTCAGGTCTCAGCGGGATGTGCGATGAGTGCGGGGGGAGGGGAGCGGCTTGGGTGATGGTGGCTGTCACCATGTCACCCGCAGTCTTTCAAGCGTCGCTAGACGGAAGCATCCCTGCCTGCTCAGCTGAGTTTTCTTTTGCGAAAAGGGAAGGAGAGGGAGTTTTAAGGACGATCAAGACGTGCAATGACTTTTTCAGGCCCCGTATCTGGAGATCAAGAAGCAGATGGACAAGCAGGACCCGCTGGCGCACCCCCTGCTGCAGTGGTATCGCATTTTCATTCTCTTGCTCAAAACCGCCCTTTCTCCACCTGCTGGGGGGGGGGGGG